TAGCTCGCTCACCAGGTGTTCGACTGAATGCCGACGCGGACATGCATAAAATGGCTAATTTTTTTAAAATAATACATTTTTTACATTAAATTTCAGAAATATTACGCCGTAATTATATTTTTTTAAAATATTACCCAGTTGGCCTACTGCTGACCGATTGGATCCAGTCGGCCTACTGCTGGCCGATTGGCCCCCAGTCAGCCCACTGCCGGCCGATTGGATCCAGTCGGCCCACTGCTGGCCGATTGGCCCCAGTCGGCCCACAGCTGACCGATTGGCACCCAGTCTGCTTCCTCTAGACCGACAGGTGCATGCACCCATCTATCTGTTGAGTAGATATTTGAAAAATGTTGAAGAAGTATTTGAAAAAATGTTGATCATGCATATAAAAATGTTAATCAAGCATTTAAAAAAAATGTTGCACAAGTATTTGAAAATGTTGAACAAATATTCGAAAACTGTTGAATAGGTATTTGAAAAATATTGAAGAAGTATTTTAAAAAATGTTGATCATGTATATATAAAAATGTTAATCAAACATTTGCAACAAATGTTGAAGAAGTATTTGAAAAAAATGTTGAACAGGTATTTGAAAAAAATGTTGAACAAGTATTTAAAAAAATATTGGTCATGTAAATAAAAATGTTGAACAAGTATTTGTAAAAATGTTGATCATGTATATAAAAATGTTGAACAAGTATTTGAAAAAAATTAAAAAAATATTTTTTTGAACAAGTATTTGAAAAAATAATATAGAAAAAAAGAAAAAAAGAATGAAATGATGGAGAAGACCGGCTCAATCATCTCTAGTTGGTCGCGATCCCTTTTCTATCCAGTAATTGGAAACTAATGGCATGGTTAGCTGCTCTGGTGATTGCCATGGAGACCAGGCATCGATCTCCGGCGTAGCTAATAACTACCCCACCAGCTTCCAGATGTTTAACTTTTTTTCAAATACTTGCTCAATTTTTAAAAAAATACTTTTTTAACATTTTTTAAATACTTGTTCAACATATTTTTAATACTTGTTCAACATTTTTATATACATGATAAACATTTTTACAAATACTTGTTCAACATTTTTATATATATGATTAATATTTTTTCAAATACTTGTTCAACATTTTTACAAATACTTGTTCAACATTTTTATATACATGATTAATATTTTTTCAAATACCTGTTCAACATTTTTTTAAATACTTGTTCAACATTTTTTGCAAATGCTTGATTAACATTTTTATATACATGATCAATATTTTTTTAATGCTTTTTTAATATTTTTCAAATACCTATTCAACATTTTTCAAATATTTGTTCAACATCTTTAAAATACTTGTTCAATATTTTTTTAAATGCTTGAATAACATTTTTATATGCATGATCAACATATTTTTCAAATACTTCTTCAACATTTTTTAAATACCTATTTAACAGATAAATGGGTGCATGCACCTGTCGGCCTAGAGGAAGCAGACTGGGTGTCAATCGGTCAGCAATGGGCCGACTGAGGCCAATCGGCCAACAGTGGGCCGACTGGATCCAATCAGCCAGCAGTGGGCCGACTGGGGGGCAATCGGCCAACAGTAGGCCGACTGGATCCAATCGGTCAGCAGTAGGCCTATTGGGTAATATTTTTAAAAAATATAATTACGGCGTAATATTTCTGAAATTTAATATAAAAATGTATTATTTTTTTAAAAAAATAGCCATAAAATGCATCTGACTCCCGTTAGGCGCACCGGCCGACCCAAACAAAAAGACGGACGCGGACAAAAAACAGACAAAAACGGTGTCCGTTTAGGTCGCTGCGTCGGAGTCGCTCTAAGTCCATACGTGTTTTGTGTTTGAATTTTAGCCGCGGGTGTACTGCTTGGAATGATGCTTCACTGGACCTGGAAGTGTTGATTTTGTGCTGGAGCTGACAACTGTTTTGCGCCTTGGTTGTTTCAACGAGAAGCGGATAGTGTTTTTTTTTGCGAAAAAACTTCCAATCTATTCATCTTCAATCATGGCAGCACAACGAATACCAGAAATAAAAATTACATCCAGATTCATAGATCACCTAGCGACGATTACAAGCACCGAAGCGAGCCGAAGGCGCGCCGCCGTCATCGCCCCTCCATAGCCGGAGCCGGGCACAACTTGTCGTAGTAGACAGTCGGGAAGTCGTCGTGCTAAGGTCCCATGGACCAGCACCTCAGAACAGCAACCGCCCCGATGAAAAATAACGTAGATCGGAAGGATCCAAACCGAAGACACACGAACGTAGACAAACAAAGACGAGATCCGAGCAAATCCACCAAAGATAGATCTGCCGGAGACACACCTCCACACGCCCACCAACGATGCTAGACGCACCGCCGGAACGAGGGCTAGGCAAAGAGACCTTTATTCCATCTTCAGGGAGCCGCCGCCGTCTCGCCTTCCTGAGTAGGACACAAACCCTAACAAGATTGAAAAAAACGACTAAAAACGGAGCCCTCCCGCCGGCCCTTGCCAGGATCCACCGCGCCTCCATGGCCCTAGGGCCACCGGAGATGAGGCGGACCTGCGCCGGCGAGAGGCACGAACCCTAACTTCCTTTCTTGGAGGAGGAGGAGGAGGCGGAGCCTTGGCTCTGGACGCCTCGTATTCAGATCGTGGGCTGGTTAGAAAAGAGAAAAAAAATATATGAAAAACAAGCAGATAGTGTTTTTTGTTGTTGTTGGTAGCAGATAGTGTTTTCTGAATTCTTTTCATTCGATCGAATCCTCCTTTTCCACGAGGAATTAATAGTTTCTATCTATCCAGGCCATGATTGAAAATTTGACATGTATTCCTTTGCTCTCAAGACATTGCTAGTGGTACCTGAAACACGGCTGTCTCCGCGTACTCCGAGCCTGCCCATTATAACCTTTCTTCTGCTTATCAGTACAATTTCATTTCTAGAGCTTACGTTATTATTGAACATCGCATGAAGCATTGATTCCTCAAAATGGAAAGCACCTAAAGTGACATGAAAAATTTGATTTCCAAACCAGGCAGCGCGATGGCAGAATTATATTGGTGTGTTTTAACACCTAACTAGATGCAATGGAATCATGAACAAGAACAAATTGCAACAGAAAATCCCATTGAGAAGTTGACTATAATGCAATATTTCAATAAAACTAGTGCTCCCAGTTATTGTAAAGTTCAGGTGCAGCTTGCTAGTCAATAGGGATGATGATCTGCCTCATATCATCGTCAGTTAAAACAAAACATAGAAACAAAAATCAAATGTACATTTTGTAAATACTTGGTTTTAAGAAGAGCACCACGGAATCGATAAAAAAGAGCAGCCCAATAAAAGGAAAAGTGATTCTTCGGTTAAATAAACAGAGACATAATTTTAGCATCAACGCTCATGGCTGACACTTCAGACCGAAAGGATATTCGGAGTAATATAACACAGCCATAACTTATCTATCTATGCATCAAAATGAAACTAGCTGGCTCATAGTGGTTGGGCCATTTAGAAACAGTTCACAACAAAACCCTCTAGTGTCAGAAAGAAGATATGCTGAACAAGAGTTTGCTTGACCCGGTAGCAACGGAATTTGGACAGAGATAAAGGCACCGATGGTTCTGAGACGAAAATGCATAGACTCGGACAAAATTGTACTCCCTCCATCCCACAATATAAGACGTTTTTGCAAACTACTTGAACATCTTGTATAAAACAGCTTGCCAAAACATCTTATATTATGGGACGGAGGGAGCACTTGATAAAATGATTCAGCGAACCTTCACTCTTGAACATTGCTTGAGGACAGTGAAAAACAACTTCTTGCAGGAGATTGTTGATCACAACTTTATATGAATCAACAGAGAAGCCTGTAGGCTGAAACTTGATATTGCAGCTCATGAGGATGCTACCAGCTAGGCCGTTTCATCATCAGCTACAACAAAACTTCGGAACAGGAAACCAGTGTATATCCGCTAAATATTTAGCATTAAGAAACCACTGTATGATCTTTAAGAAAGAAGAGAATCTCGATTCAAAAACCAAACTCAGTTCTTCACTTCAAAGGAAAACAGATACACAGTACAGATCAATTGGCAACTATTCAAAAAACTGGCCAAAACGACTCCATAATTTTTTGAATCAGCATGCTAGCCACTTCAGCCCAAAAATGATATTCACACAAAAACAAATTTCATGTGACCATGAAACAGTCACAGCTTGATCATAACCATCAAAGAAACTAGCCGGCACATGCTGGACCCAATTCATACGCATTGTGCCGGTCACAGAAAATAAGAACATGGCTGGCAGTTACACAATATGGGACCTGAGCCTGACAACAATAACCTTTCTTCTGCTTATCAATACAGGGTTCATTTCTCCACCCCTTAAAATGTTGGGAGATAAAGTGAAGAGATCAATATAATTCCATGCGATGCAATGCAAAAGGAAGATTTATTAACAGTATGTTTTAACACCTAACAGATGCAATGGAACCATGAAGAAGAATGAACTGCAACAGAACATCTCACTGAACAGTTGACTATAATGAAAAGAGGATAATCTGCCTCATTTCATCGTCAGCTAAAACAAAACATAGAAACAGAAATCAAATGTACATTTTCTAAATATTTAATATTAAGAAGAGCACCGGGTAATCAGTAAAAATGAAGACCTCTATCAAAGGAAGAGTTGATTCTGCAGTTAAATAAGCAGAGACTTGTAAACTTAGCATCAACATGCAGGATAGCCACTTCAGCCCAAAAGGATATTCACACAAGTACAGATTTCTTGAAACCATGAAAGGGTCGGAACTTCTTGATCATAGTTTGCATACATCAAAATGAAACTAACCGGCTCATAGTGAAACCATGAAAGGGTCGGAACTTCTTGATCATAGTTTGCATACATCAAAATGAAACTAACCGGCTCATAGTGAACCCAAAGGCATACATATTGCAGCGCATGAGGATACTGACAGTTGGGTCGTTCAGAACCACAACTGACTCTATCAGACCAAAGGCGAAGAGTTCACAACATAGCCCTCTAGTGTCGGAAAGAAGGCATGTTGAACAAGAGTTTGCTTGATCTGAAGATTTGTAGGACCAAGGTCTCTGCGACGGAAACTGGAAACCAGCTTGCCATGAATGTCAACCTGAAGCAGACAGTCATCAAATTTGACGAGTAAGAGCACATCGCCATCCCAAGGCACGGCGACCACATTCCAATAATTGTCAGACTTTCCAAATTGCACCCTGATCTCTGCGACCGGCAACTCAACCCGGTATTTGAAGGCCCAAACCTCGGCTTCGTAGTCCTGCATCACCCAGATATTAACGCTTGCTGCTTTGTCACTAAGACTGGAGATGCCAAGCATGTCACCCATCTCAATCAGGTTAGAGTAGCCAGGACCAGCCGGAGAGCACACCTGCCGGAACGACTCAGCGGTGGTGTCAAATGCCATCATCAGATTGCGTATGCACCAATGCAGGCTACCACGGAACAGGACAGACACGGAGGAGCGCCTCAGTTCCTTGGCCTCAGGAAACCCTATGTGCCTCGGCGGCTGGCCTGAGCCCAATGTGGAGATGTAGAAGCCACCTTGAGCTTCAACGGGGATCGGGTATAGCAGTAGTCGGTACTCGCCGGTAGGGAGGTGAGGGTACATCCCCAGGATCTTGAAGCCATCAAGCTGCGGAAGGGGAGCGTACTGACGAGTTGCCGGGTTGCAGATGGAGAGCTTGGGCGGGTAGTGGGCAGTAAGGGCGAGGAGGCCGTCGCAACATGCCTCGAGCATGAAGCAGTCATCAAGGCTGTAGGAGTCGTGTGCAAGTCGAGCGACGGACCGGAGCTGGTCGACGGCGACGACCCCTGCCCGGTAGTCCAAGGGGAGGAGGTCCAGGGACGCGTAGTTGTAGCCGTAGAGGAGGGGGATGGCGGGCTGGCGGGCGTGGTGGGCGAGGAGGAAGCCGCGGGCGGAGGTGGCGCGGCGCCACGCGGGGCAGACGGCGCGGCAGCGGAGGACGCATTTGGGCGGCAGGCGGACGAGGATCTCCCAGACGGAGATGTCGTCCGGGAGGCCTGGGAGGAGAGGCGTCGCTTCTGCTCCTGCTCCTGCTCCTGCGGGCTCCGCCATGGTCGCCGGCGGGGAGCTCTCGATCCGTTCCAGGAGCAGAGCAAAGAGGAGTGGTGGTGACGGCGGCGGAGCTAGGTCTTTCCCGAAAATAGCAGAGGCATTCGGGCTGGGCCTAGGCCACCTCTTCTCATTCGTAACCAAGCGGGCTGGGCTTGGCCCACACTCGTTTACAGCTGAATACCACGGGCCATCTCAACGGCAACCAACGACGAATACGAAAAAAGAAAGCGAGGGGGAATGAAAAGAAATGACTGTCAGCGAGGGGGCGGCGGCCGGCGGGGAGCAGCAAGCAAAAGAGGAACAGTCGTGAGGTCGGTGAGGGGGCGGCGGATGGATCGCTTGTCGGGATGGGATGCTGCGGCGGCGCAACGAGGCGGCTCGTGGAGTCTTGCATAGTGATCAGGGCACTGTTGCCTGTTGCTGAACTGACGCTCGCAAGGTGCTCGAGCAAATGCCTGAGACCAAAACTGTGGAGATGCTCTTCAGGCATCGAAAGCTTTCACCATGGGCGGATGGGAGAGGTGGTGCCGGACTGGGTAGTCGATGACGTCCATGGATGCCAAGCTGGGAAGATGAAAGAAACAGAGGGAGGGGGAGGAAGTAGTGTGCAATTTACATGTGAGGCTAGTTTGCTTATTCGTTTTTTCTTTAAGAAAATATAAAAGGCAAGCACTCGCTGAAAAAATCATTTCACTTCTTTAGACAAGAAATATAATTTGGGATAGAGGTAGTATTTCGTAATGCAATTGAGTCCGGCACTGAAGTTCTGCTGAGTATAGCTTTTTATGTTTTGTCATGGTATTTTGCCGTCTATATTTCCATGCTATGCAGTTTGCAGTATGCTTGTTCTCCAGTGTCCAGTGTCCATGGGATGGAGGACTGATGCATTAGTTATGCATGCAGTTGCTTTTTCTCCAGTGTCCAGGACTATAGAACACCATATCAAGTTCATAGTTACTGTAAATATATATATACAAAAGTGTGCACCACTCCAAAACAAAAAGTTGCTTATGTGCTGCTCTTTAATGTCTGAAATGTTTTTTTTTCATTGGATACTGATCAGTTCGATCAGATCAGATTGACAAGTCTGCCAATCTGAAGCAAATAATGCCTCGGCTAGTGACAGGTTGTTAGTTGTATCCTTGTATGGATTTAGCCAACCTTTCAGCCTTTCGATTGCTGGTCTGAAGATTCAAGATAAGAAAGCAAACTGACCGTACTCTTTTCGCTGATAAGCAGCACGAAGCCCAGAAAATACATTCCTTTTGACCATCCAACATCTGTCAACAAGAAGCATGCTGTTAGTTATGACATCCCAGCAATCATAAACAAGTACTGAACTTCCAGTACTTTGTGAGCATTGCCGTCCTAATCTGGCTCCTGCAGATCCAACATCTGGTGTTTAGCCCTGCTTCTTCCCTTCTCAGGCTCAGGCTCAACCTGTTGGCGCTTAGCAATATTCTGCAAAAAGTAAGTATTGTTACCTTTCTGCGTTGATGTGATTTGATTTTGTTCCCATGGGAATTGATTTTGTATTGCTGGTTTCACAGACCATGTCGGCAAGAGAGCAATATGAGAAAGCAACTCCACATGGATACATTGAGGGGGGAATCGTTAGCGTCTTGACGTGTACAGTGTAGATCCTCCTTCTATTCAGAATTTGACCTGTAAGAAGCTCTAGCAGTGGCAAGTTGTCGATGTTTAATAGCCTGATTTGCATTTGACCTAACCTTTCATCCAGCATTATGATAAGCACATTCACCCCATTGTTGGGCCCAAGTATCCAGAACAGCTAGTCATAAGATTGTCTGTTAATATCTTTATCTTGATTTCACGAATTTTTCAGCCTTTCCATCTGCTGGTCCCAAGATTAAAAATAAGGAAGCACATGCTGATCCACCCTACTATTGCTGCCAATAAGTAGCCAGAAAGCCCAGAAAATACATCCACATTGATCATAGAAAAATGAAATATTGAACTTCCAGTACATTGTCATAATTGCAATCATAATCTGGTTCGTGCTGATTCAAGATCTGGAGGTTTCTAAGTGAAGCCATGGCCTCCAAACAGGATGGTGCATATGAATTGAGGACACGGGGAAACAAGCTTTGCTCGCAACTCCAGTATTCAGGTATATTCTCCTCTCTTGATTCATTCACTAACACTGTTTCTATGGCATGTTGATCTGCTCTATGACACTTGGCTTTTCAAAACTGTTTCATCTAGAACTTGCTCACAGTATAGCTTATGTTATACTGATATTTTAAAAGAGGAATTGGGAAATCTAAGAAGCATACCATTTCGCTAAAAGATTAGACTAGATTTTCTGAAGAATTAGAAACCGATTACAGAATGCTCAGCGGAACAGGATAAAGTCCCTGATAGAAGCGGCCACTATTGACTTGTGCAGCAGCAGCAGTCTATAAGGTTTTTTTCCCGGGTGGGAGGAGATAAATTCCTTTGATATTCGATTTGTTTCTGATCTTTCATATAGAGCAACTCTAGGAAGAGAAACAAGTCCATATGAATATTGCCCTGTTTTGCTCCCCACTAATTATCTACTAGCATCGTATCAATGCATGTTCGGTCACATGAACATCATGTCGTTTGGCTCAATCTTGTCCATGGCCCAGCCTCTCATCTCATCCATGAGCTTGTTCTGTATCCATAGCGGCCCCTCGGCAAATCCACAGTATAGCGCCTCCAGCCGGGCAACGTTCCCGAGTAGGAACTTGGCCAGCTTCCTCTGCGCGCTGCCGCCCTGGTAGTTCACCAGGTTGATCTCCCTCAGGCAGGGGGGCAGCAGGTCGGCAGGCGGCGTCTGCAGGACAATGGTGTCGCAGTCATACTTGAGATGGTGCGTGTCCAGAAACTCCTCCTCCTTGTAGATGCCGTAGCGCTCTGGCTTCTCGCGAGGCGGCGTCTTGAAGAATAGCGTGAGCACCTCCAGGTTGGGGGCATGCCCCAGGATCCTTGCCACCGCAGCGACGACGGCGTTGCCGTGGGTATCGTCGTCGTGCGGCAGGGAGCCCGTGAGCTCAAGGTGGCGAAGCTTCAAGAACGTCGGGAACCGTGTGGCGAAGGCGTCGTTGTCGATGCCGGAGCCCAGGCGGGCGGACGTCAGGTGCAAATGCTCCGTGGGTCCAAAGTGGTGGAGGAATTCGTCGAGGTGGGTGAGATCCTCCTCCGACGTTAGCTCCCCGCCGCATAAATCGACTCTGCATGACAAGAGGCTTCGCGGGCCGTGGTGCATGGTCAGAAACGATGGCTGCGCGGGCACGTCACCCCTGTACTCTAAGGCGCGCAGCTCCGACGCATCGATGATGACGCTCGCCAACCGGTGGCAACACCGCAGGGTCAGCCTGCGGAGGCGTTTGTCGAGCACGGAGAGCTCCCTCACTCTGGCGCAGGCCTCTAGCGTCAGGTCGGCGAGGAACGGGCAGCTGGAGATGAGCCGTTGAATCTTCCTGGCCGAGTCGGCAACATGGGTCAGGACCAGCGCCTTGAGGGACGGCAGGTTGGTCCCGCCCGCCGGCGGGTCGAGCTTGCAGCACCCGAGGCACAGTGTGCGCAGCGCGGCGCAGGAGAAGACAGATCGTGGAACAGTGTACAGCTTGTCCTTCTGCTGCCGTAGCCATGGTCTTTTGGGAGGAGGGGTCGTCTCAACCTCGTCGTCGGAGATGGCGTCCAGGGCGATGCCCTCCAGGGCATGAAGGAGCGACTCGACCTCGCGGTTTTCATCGTCCGAACTGCAAGCGGAGCGTCTGCTGCTGGCACGCTCGTCGTCTTGAACGCCGGGCTGGTTCTCCTCGGCCGCGCTGCGGAGGGAGTAGCCGCGGCCGCAGATTTCATCGGCGCGGAGGCGCAGGTCGAGGTGGAGCTCTGGTCCACTCTGCTGGATGGCGTACGAGATCCACCGGTCAATCATGGAGTCGAGGTCGTTCATCCCGTCACTGTAGTAGCGGAAGGCCACTCGGAGGGAGCGGATCGGGACGGTGGCGCAGCCGTGGCGGTATCGGGCGAGGAGCACGTCGTTGACGCCGTTGGCGAGGGAGACGGTGCCTTCCGATTGCTCTAGAGAAACCGTGTGGACGCTGGTGAAGACGTCCCGCCACCGGGTGGAGAGCGCGGTCGCCCGCATGGCCTCCTTGGTGGGGAGGAAGGAGAGGATGTTGCCAAGAACGCCATCGTCGAGCTTGCTCAGGCGGTCGTCGCGCCCACCACGGATCTGGGAGTGTCGTCCCATCGCGGCCGGCCGGAACCCTTGCAAACTAATCCCAGATCGAGCCGGTGAAGCGTCTATATTGTAGTAGTACTAACTAACCGACGTTGCCTTCCTTCTCAAGTTTATTTTGTTTTGTTTTAGGACCCGGATAGGGATAACTATGGGAGCCTCTACTCGTCAGTTAATTGACAAAAAAACCAGTGGATGAGTCACTTCTAATATGGACCGTCAGATCATCATCCAACCGCCCAGAATAGATCTAGGAACTGTTCATCGTCTTCCTCCCTTCTTCCTCCTCACGATGCCCCCATCCTACCCCACCCTAACCGCCGGCTTCCACCACTCAAGGCCGGCGGGCGCTACCGCGCACCGTCTCGCCCTCCCGCTGCCCCGACCATCCCTCTATGCTCTGCCACACCAGGGAAGACTTCCGGCGATCCTGCACCCCACCCTAAGATAGATAGTGGGCTCTCTTCTCCAGCGAGGTTTCGGTGCTAGAAGGAAGGAAGAAGGTAACTAACGCTAGAGAAATTTCTAGGTACACGAGAAATAGCAAAAACGGATAACTATCTGTCTTTCGACTGGGGAGACCCTAGTTCGAACGAATCTTTCTCCAGCCGAGGTGCGAACGATTGAGCGACATTTGCTATGGGGAACCTCCGGAGTGAACTCCCTCAAGAAAACCCGATGGGACACGATCCTCAAACAAAACAAAATTGAAAAAAAAACATATTTTAGCACAAAAGTACCAGG